GTGCATCAGCTTAAGAGGAACTGAGGGAGAGTTTGAGAGCAATACCCTATCAAGTCGAGAGATCACTGAGAAGACAGAACTTGGCGGGAGGTGCACGTGAAGCTTGATAACTGCAGGAGCGCCCTCATGGAAGAGTGGCTATGAAAGAAATGAGCTGGGGAAAATCCCCCCACTGCCAGGGAAGTACATTTTAAAATGTGATTCTAGGGGCGCCTGGGTGGCTCAGTTGGTTAAGTGTCTGCCTTTGGCTGAGGTCATGATCCCAGGGTCTTGGGATGGAGCCCCACATCGGGCTCCCTGCTCAGCAGAGAGCCTGCTTCTCCTTCTCCCTCTGCTTGTGCTCTCTCTTTCTCTTTCTCTCTCTCTCAAATAAATAAATAAAATCTTAAAAAAAAATAAAATGTGATTCTGATGGGAGCTCTCAAATGCTCCAGCACAAGGTCTCTACCCTTCAACCTCCACCTGACAAATCACTCCACAGCCCCGTGTCTTACCAGACAGCACCCAAACCCATGGTCCCTGGACCACCAGCATCAGCAACACCCGGGAAGTTAATACAAATGCAAAATCTCACTCTTCCGCCCCCAACCTACTGAATCAGAAACCGTGAGGGTGGGGCCAGTGATGGTGCTTTAACAAGCCCTCCAGGTGATTCTAATGCATGTTCAAGTTTGTTTTAACCTATGCAGAAAAACATCTTTTTCCTAAGTGGAGGACAAGTGTCCCAGGGGTTCAGAGGTATTGTAAAGTTCAAGAAATCAATACTTGAAGCCGGAAAGCAGAAGGCGTAAAAGTTGTATAGCTCACAGAGCAATTAGAAACACCGAAACTGTTGAATTTGCTTGTAACAGGAACAGGGGGAGGCGGGTTGATTGTGGATTTTGGGAAAGTAAAAATTCACCATCTGCAGGTGTAAGATAATTACTCCCTATATGGCGGGAGCACCAAGAAAATGTCATATCAAGTAGCACAGAAAATTTCCTAACGCAAAAGGTAGAATGTTGGTGCTGCATATACTTGCCCTAAGGAGCCATGGTGAAAGCCTCCCTTTCCCTTCACCTGATTTCATTTACAGCTGTCCTTGGGGGAGCAAGAAACTGAGCCAATATCCACAGACCTAGTGGGATGAGAGTGATTTCTCAGTGGAATTCATAATAAAAAATGGTTTCTGTTTTCTGGGCTAGCTGCTTCTCCATCATTCTCACTGCTTGCCCTTCATTTTATCTCTGGGCTGGGTTAATTCCCAGAGAATGGAGTCATTTTCCTGATAGAAACTCTCAGTACTGATTGAAAGGAGAAAGAGAAGGGGTATTAGTGGGGTTTTGGTGTTTGTCCTGATGCCCTTTGGAAACACCGTCAAGTCAGAGGCATCCTGGAGACACGCTTTCTGATTTCTGTTCCTGTTTCTCATCCTAATTTTTTTTTAAAGATTTTATTTATTTATTTGACAGAGAGAGACACAGCGAGAGAGGGAACACAAGCAGGGGGAGTGGGAGAGGGAGAAGCAGGCCTCCAGCCCAGCAGGGACCCCGAGGCGGGGCTCCATCCTAGGACCCTGGGATCATGAGCTTGGTGGAAGGCAGACGCTCAACGACTGAGCCACCCAGGCGCCCCTCTGCTGGTTATTTTTCTATTGAATAAAAGACAGTGGCAGGCAGTGAATTGTACAAATAACAGGTAATCGCTTCCACTCCATATTGTGCCACTTTGCAGGGGGGCAGAATAAACCCTCACCACTGGGCAGGTCCACTGGGTTCTCTCAGTCCTTGCGGACGTACACTGTAGCCACCCGATCTCTGGTCAACTGCCATTCACCAAGGCAACCGAGTCACAGTGGCAATCAAACCATCACTCCTCCAGGCTGAAATGGCAGACATGTCCTTACCGGGTGAATACAACGGGACTGTGACTCTCCCACCTCATATCTGTATTACATAGTGAGCAAAACTGGGCGCCTGGGTGGCTCAGTCGGTTGAGTGTCTGCCTTTGGCTCAGGTCCTGATTGATCCCGGGGTCCTGGGATCAAGCCCCACATCCGGCTCCCTGCTCAGTGGGGAGCCTGCTTCTCCCTCTCCCTCTGCCCCTCCCCCCACCTGTGCACATGCGCACACACTCTCGCAAAAACAAAATTTTAAAATAAATGGTGAGCGAAATTAACCATTGTAGCCTATGTTAAACAGAAACTGAGATTATGGTAGTCTTCAAAGTTTGGGGAGCAGAAAATCTGTATCTATGAGTACAACCTCTTTTCAAGATCACTAGAATCATCCAGAAAGGAAGCTTTTTTTTTAAGATTTTATTTATTTATTCATGAGAGACAGAGAGAGAGAGGGAGAGAGAGGCAGAGGGAGAAGCAGGCTCCCAAGGAGCAGGGAGTCCGATGTGGGACTCGATCCCAGGACTCTGGGATCATGACCTGAGCCGAAGGCAGACGTTTAACCATCTGAGCCACCCAGGCGCCCCATAAGGGAAGCTTTATAAGTAAATAATGAGTATTAGCCTTAGTGATGCAGAATCCAGGACAGGGAGTTGTATGATTTTACACGAAGATGCACCTGATCTCTAATCTAATAATCTTAGCCTGTAAATTCCTAGCAGTCTACGTTTGTATTTCTCATTAACAAGGCAACTCCATGCCTTTCCTTTGTTAGATTCATCTGTAGGGGCTCTTGGGAATCCATTTCCGGAGGTGGGCTAAGAGGCTGTGCTGTGTACTGACTGGGAACGGAGACTCGGGAGATTCTGGTGTGTCAGTCCACCTGGGTGGAGTCCCTTCTCCCTGGCTTTGTAGCTGTGTGACCTTGGAAAGTTGTTTACCCTCTGTGAGCCTCAGTTTCCCCATCAGATGCTGCTGTAGTTTTACATGAATAATGTCAAGAATTTAGCACAGAGCCTGGCGGAAAGGCCTGATACATATTAGATACGATGTATATTTGTCGCCAATCTTAGTTGTGTTCGATTCACCAATTTTTCTTTTTATGCCAAATCTAGCGAGGACAGTTTCGGTCTGGGTTTTCTTTCCTCTTCCCCGACCCACCCCTTCCCCATCTCTTTTCATTAAACCAGGAGAAGGTGGCCATGAAACAACCGTTTGAAATGAAGTCTGCTTTGTGTCCATCCGTTGGGAAAAGGCTTTGATCACAGCCGAGCTGTGGGTGTTTGGCAGGCTGCCCGCTCCTGCCCAGGCGAAGAGGCATCTCTGAAGGTTTAGATATTTTAAAAAAGGAAGGGAAAAGGGCAGCTCGTGGGTTCCTCGAGGGTGTGTATAAATGGCAACCTCTCCTCCTCCCCAAGCTTCAAGGGCCTCCCCTCTTTCCAGGCCAGGGTGTCTGGGTGTCCACGCGCCTTGTCTCTCTGAGCCGTGAGCTGCAGGGAGTGCACGACGCTGCCCTTAGCATTCTGGTGGTTCGCAAGCACACTGCTTGCTTCTGGCCCTCATTAGTTGGCTGTCTCCAGCATACAGAGGACACTGGAAAAGCCAACCCGCCTTGCGCCTAAAGCAGGGGCAGGAGGGCAGAGCCTCCTCCTCCTGGAAGCCAGCCCCAGCAGCATTATGTAAATGACTTCTGGGAATTGCCAGCCTGGTCCTGGTGAGCCTGGAAGATCACCTTGCAAGTGGGCCCGAGGCCAGCCTGACAGATGGCCTGGGCTGCTGCAGCATGACCCACATTAGGCCCATCAAGTGTGTTCCCTGAAGGCTAGTGGCCTGGCCAGGAGTGGCAGAGCAGCTGTCCAGGGGGACAGCGCAGGCTGTGATGTGGGTTCCCAGCTCCGCTCACCCCTCCTCCCCACAGTGCTGTCTCTGAAAGGGAACAGACCAGCTCTCTCCTTCCTCTTGAGAGCACAGCTCTGGGCCTCATGATTTGGGGGCTGAGGTCTGGCCTAGACACTCTACATGACAACCCCTCACCAAAGTGGCCAAATATTCCCATCAAGTGAACCAGCTACTACAATGTTAAAAAAGGATAATAAATGAGCAAAGCCTACTTGGAAACTTTGTTCAGAAACCCTGTGACTTCTACAGAGTATTAAGAAAATATTGAACTTTCAAATTTTATGATTTCATGTCCTCTGAGACTGCAAACCTCTTACCCAGTTCTCTTTTTTAAAGCATGAATCCTTTGTATAATACTTGGAAAGTAAATGTATAACATTTTTTCTCCCTTCCATTCGAAATAATGCCTGGGGAAATTTAACGTTCCTGGATTCAGCCTGTGGATTTGAGATAAGGATTCAAGGAGAGAAGCCTTTTAACTCAGAACAGAATCTGTTTGCAGCTATTGTTCAATTAACGTAAAGTATCTAGTTACTGGGCATGTTGCATAATGCATGACAGCGTAAACCAAACCTCTTAAGTGCTGACACTGAACTCCTTGATAACAGTGAAGAGTGAAGTAAATTGTTCCTTTTTTTTAGAAGTCCCCTAAAACAAAGCTTCTCAAGACTGAATGAATCAACACTTTTGAGCTGAGTCACAGTCAAGGGATGTCCCTGTGTGTGTGCTCATGCTGATAAAAAAAATCTAGAAGGAAACAGAAAAAAAAAAAAAAACCCCACGTCATGTCCTCTTTAAGAGCCAGAAAAGCTGTCAGAAGAATTAAGATTAAACCTCACGAGAGTCTGTGGGTGTGGAAAGTCACCAGCTAGCTAATATTAACATAGCTTGCAACAGAACGCTGTTGCTAGAAATAGGACAATCGCATCACTACCACTAAGCAATTTGCATTCTGTGGACCAGCCCCTAAATTCCTCCTGGCTCCTACTGCCCTTTGGGCAGTGTATTTCTGGACGCTCTTAGATGGTCAGCACTCGAACTTGGCTGTCTGGTTTCACCAGGAACCCTACCCAAAAGAGGAAGCAGCAAGAACATTGGCTTTGTTTGCAGGAAAGTGATCAAGCTACAAGCAAATCTTTAGGCATCTGAGGATTTGTGAAGCTTCGAGACTTCATATGGTTGCTGACAGGGTGGGGCAGACAAGAACCTTCTTACTTTCCTCACCATGGATAATCTGTTGCCTCAGTCTAGATTCTCTTACTTCAAAAAATATCCTCTCCATGCGATTAGGAAATATCTCTCGATCCTCAGAAACCAAAAAGCTGAAGAACAGGTATCATTTTGTTTATATTATCTTTAAGGATAACTAGTGTTTGCTTTTGGGTGTTGCTTTTACGTGACTTAATGATTTAGTGTTTGCTAGTTTACATGTTTATAGGCACAGGTCGGCCCCTGCTTGCGGCTATTCGGATATAGCAATCACAAAAGCAAGCAGGCTTGTGAAGATTTATTTGAACTTGGAACATTTGGATCCTGACATTAAGCTCAAGTTCTGTAATAAAACCATGCACTTTTCCTTTTTCTGAATAGCTAGACCAAACTACTCTATCAGAGTTAAATTGTAGACTCCTTGACAGCTTTTTAGGGCAGGAAATACAAATTTTAAACTATTAATATCTTGACAAATAAAAGTATTAGACCCTAGAAATACACTTGTCTTCTTGTGTGTATTTATGGCTATGTTAATATCACCAGGATTTGCAAAACAAGAAACATTGTGTAGACTGTAAATATGATAGCCTCAAACAGATCACTAACAAGCTATGACGATCATTCAGAAATAATTAGTCATCTTTTTTAGTGGAGAGCAGGGTATGGGGCACTGCAGTTTTCAGTCTTTTTAGCCAATCAAAAGTTAGGGTTTCTAGTAGTAGACTCTAGCATGTGGGAGTATAAACATTAAAAAATTTTTTTTTAAATGTCTGATCACTTCTTGTTTAAAATCATGCTTTCATTTTATTGTTTTGAGATGTATTTCATTCTAGCCCTTAAGAATCTATGAGAAGACATTTCTAAAAACTGCATTTCTGAATTGTACCAAATTAGAAGAAGAAATGGCAGTATGCGATCTATTTAAATCTGGTGGCTCATTTCGGAAAAAGTATGACCATGGTAAAGGACAGATGTATATCCACATGGAAGAGTCATAAATTGCTTGTACATCCTGCTTATAATTAGAACTACAAAACTGCATGGGAGATATTAGTAGTGTTCTGAATTTGAATGAGATGACCTAGTTTAATAAAACACTTCCAGGAAATGAAAGCAAAGGTCAGCAGACAGAAAATCCTCTAATGACAGGTTTCCCAAAAAGTCAATGCTTAACTTGGAAGATGAAAATCATTATTACTGTTCCAGAGGAAACTGCTTTTATGCCGTGCTCTAATGATTTTACAAGAGCTGGAAATTCAGATTGTGCTCACTAAGGGGGTTGGGCTGGTCCAGTTTATCTCTTACTTAGACAAGGTGTCCTGATTACCAGAGAAATCTTTTGGTTTCCCCCTCTCAGCAGGTGCTTGCTTTTGAAGTGGAAAGCCAGAGACCTGGGTGGCGGTCCTCTGAGTTGTGGTCTACCACACTTATTATTAATGTCTGCATCACAGGCTTCTTCAGGCCTCATTATAATAGGGGTTGGAGGGGTGTGGGCAGTGGGGAGTGGGGAGTGGCTGAAAGGGTGGGCTGGAACTGTGGAATGTGGATTAAGTTATTCCCCCCCTTCTCAGTGTTGTAAGTTTTCAGAGCTGTGTCTATAGTGCTTGTGCGGTTTATTTATTTAGTTTGTTTAAAAAATGTTACAAAATGCATTCAGAAGAACATCAGAATACAACATGGATCCTCGGACTTGGACTGGGTGGGTGGTCCCCCCTTCCCAGTTTACAGCCATTTGGGATGACCTGGCAATCATGACCATTGTGCGGTTTTTTAACTTTCTATACAAATTAATGGAGAAATAAAGAAAAATAACACATTCAGTTCTTTTCTGAAACCAATTAACAGCTCTGCAGACTGACTGTCTCACAGAATTAGAGAAATTAGGTCGGAGTCAATCACGGCTAACCTTGGAAAGCTTGTTGGAAAGTTATAAAGAAGGTTAATAATGTCTATAATTTTAGGACCTGCATATCTGTTGTCTCTAATGCTTACAGTCCTGTAATATGGACTCTCAGTATAAAGGTGAGGAAAGTAAGACAAAGACCTTAAGAGCCCTTGCCCAAGGCCACCCACCTAGAAAGTATTGAAGGAAGATTGGAATTCCTGTCTGCTTGGCTTTAAACTTGACCTATTTGGGGGAGCCTGGCTGGCTCAGTTGGTGGACTTTCTTGATCTCAGGATCATGAGTTCTAACCCCACGTTGGTAGTAGAGTTTACTTAAAAGAGAAAAAAAAAAGCTTGACCCATTTTACCATGCTTGATCTCTGAATGATCTATACTAACACAGTGATAGCAACATAGCAAACTGATAATCTTTCTCCTAGAAAGTATTTCTAACACTTCAGATGTTTACATGCCACTGTCATAATTTTTACCCTAAGTTCATGGTGTGATTAACTTCTTAATATTTTTCTATATTTGCATATAAATCACTTGCTTTTATTTATTTTTTACTTTTTTGCTGTTTTTATTATGCACTACATTAATACACTGCATAACCTTCTAGAAGGGGTAGGTGAGCATAATGGAGTTATTTTTCACCAATCAGGAAAATGCTTCCTTAGTGGATATTCTCCAAACCCTTTGACACATAGTAACAAACTCCAGAGACATGCCTCTTTCCATCCAATTCCACTGATATGAATAATGGGCAAGGCTTTTTTCTTCACCCCTGTTAGTGGACCTGGGGATGTGTGCAGTGGCTATGCCCGGAATGAGCAAGCCCACGGCCATGACTCCGGTCCCTGGACAGAATCTCAAACCACATTGCAAAGCAGTTGCCAAGCAAATCACTTACTTCTTAAACTTAAGTTTGTTTAGAAAGAAAATTTTATATAACTACTATAAATGGAAAACCACTGTCATTTACCGTAAACAGAAGAGAAACATAAATATAGGGGCACCTGGGTGGCTCAGTCGTTAAGCGTCTGCCTTTGGCTCAGGTCATGATCCCAGGGTCCTGGGATTGAGCCCCACATCGGGCTCCTTGCTCGGCGGGGAGCCTGCTTCTCCCTCTCCTTCTCCCCCTGCTTGTGTTCCCTCTCTCGCTGTCTCTCTCTCTCTCTCTCTGTCAAATAAATAAATAAAATCTTAAAAAAAAAGAAACATAAATATAATAAAAACAAAATAATACTAAATTCTAGCTAGACACTGTTACCTGGGGAACCTCTGAGCCTGAAACCTACTCTGTTAAGAAGGAAGATTAGCATCCTAATAGCCAACTGAGACATTTCTCCGGGGCAGAGATGGAAGGGAATTAAAAGATAGCCAATTTATCAATTCCAAGGAATTCGTTGTTATTTAATGTAGTGTCTGCATGCTACCTAAAATCTTCTCTGACCCCATCTAGCACCATTGGGTCCCCCACCCATGTTGTGTTCACCCACTTGGAAATACTACCCGAGGCACACTATCTGTTTCTCCTCCTCCCTATAACCTAGAATTCTGTCCTTTACTTACAACTTGCCCACCTGGAGATCGCCTACACATTCCTCAAGACTCAGGTTAAATAGGCTCTGTAAAAAATCTTTTTCCAGCTTTGCTAGGAAGAGTGAAGTTTAGCTCTTCCTTTTCCAAGATAGTCTGTCTGTGTCTAATACAGCCCCTTATATGTAATATGTAGTAAGCCGTTTGCTTACATGTGTATGTGCACCCAGACACGTGACACAGAGTGGTATCTTGTTCTTTGTTCTCTCAGACCCCCCTTGGAGCCTGGTGCAAGCTGGTGTAGCAGTGACTCCTAAGACAGATTGCCTCTGGGGCACACCTCCTTGCCTGGCCCTACCCATGCCTCGACTGGGCCTGAAAGGCCCCCATATATCCCAGTCAGGGCCACTGTTACACTTGCCTTGTCCACAAATGCTTTCTTGTTTAAACGTTCTCCTCAGGATTCTCCCCCCTTGCACTTGATGTCACGCCAACGTGAAGGTTTGACCTAAAGGCTGGTTTGTTTGGGAGTTTTCATCATTATTCCTACCGTGCTATGCCAATCAGTGGGTAGACAGGTTATTTACCAAATTGAGAACAAAGATCTGATCCTTTGCATTCCTAGACTCTATTATAGTGGGTATTTCACAAAGCCAACTCCCTAAGTAGAATATTAAGGTCATTAATTAGATGCAGGTGTGGAAGTTTGGGAACATTAGACAATGAAACATTTCTGAACAGCATTATTCAAATGGTGGTGTAGTGGTGGTGGTGGTGGTGGTCGGGGGGACACAGCTTGAGCCTCAGAGAGCTCTCAGATGAGTTTCGGCAGGGGCACTGACACATTCATGAGGCTATACTGTTGCAGTTCTCGTCTTTGGGTCTAATGCGAATAGCCGAATAGCCGGGGTCTGGCTTAGAGGTAGATGTCTGAGCTTGTGGGAAAAGTGAGACTTGCAGGCAATATTCTCTTGAGTACTGGAGCCCCAGCAGCCTGCTCTGTGACTCAGGTGACTGAGCGGGACACTGAGTGAGGAGGGGAGAATCTGCTCCACTTGAGGGCAGACTGTAGCCTTGGCTTCATCCCAATGAGGCCTACAGAGAATCGAGGGCCCTATGAACCCCCAGGGAATGCTTTTTTTTTTTTTTTAAGGATTTTATTCATTTATTTGAGAGAAAGAGAGAGCACACATGAGCAGGGTGGGAGGGGCAGAGAGACAGGGAGCAGCAGGCTCCCTGCCGAGCAGGGAGCCCGACATGGGGCTCGATCCCAGGACACTGGGATCATGACCTGAGCAGACGCTTAACTGGCTGAGCCACCCAGGCGCCCCCAGGGAATGCTGCTCTTAGGGGTTAGCACCACTGGTACAGATACTCTTCATGGGAGCCAGCACCAAATGATCAGAGAAGACAATTTGTGGGACAGTCTACTCTCTCTCCATTGGTGAGCTCCTCCATTTCCATGGCTTTGAACACCACCTATTTGCTGCCAACTCCCAAATATTTATCCCCAGTGCACTTCCGCCTTGTATATACAATGGCCTATTTGACATCTCCATCTGAATGTCTTGTGCATGTTGCAGACTGAAAGAGAGAACTCACAAGCTCTGTCCTCAAACCTGCTACTCCCCAGGTCATTCGCTCAGCACCAAAGCTCAAACCAGAAACATGGGAGTCGCCTTGGTACGTCCCCCT